ATGGCAAAGGACTGAGGTGGTTATGCATTTTAACTGGAGATTTGTTGGTGAGATTGCCATCAGTGTTTTAAGCTGGTCAAACAGGTTTAGTTCTAAAAGTCAAAGAAAACAAACATTTTTCATATTTGTGACCATCTGATTGCAAAGTTCACGACTGGTGATTGAACAGTCCATGGGTGGGACTGGTTGAGAGTGATTTGGGCATGATGTAACAAAGTGATTGTCATCCCATCCAAATGTACGCTAGTGCCCTTGGGGCCTGGTGCCCTGAGTAAAGATCTTGGGGGGGGGAAGTCATTCTAGTTTGTGGGTTTGAGTGGAGCTAATGAGGTTGCAAACTTGCAATCTCAGTAGGATATTAAGCTGTTAGCATTAAAATGGAAGCATAGAACTGGGTACAAATGATACAACCTGAGAAATGCTTTACATAGGCCTGATCAACAATGGCAACAAAGGAGTGCTTTCACTGGCTGAAACCACATTTCCATCATTAGTTTAATATTCACAGACTGCCTATTACCACCAGCCCAATTTTTAAACAGAAACATCTTTTTGGACATCTGACACAGAGAAAACATTTAAAAAAAGGTAAAAAAAATTAAAAATTACATACCGACACCGCTTATAACATGCAAAAAACCCCCCCAAAAAACAGAGCTTACTTTCGTCTAAACAACTCAGCAAATATGCAACCGACACTCCAAAGATCCACGGGAGTGGCATACTGGGACTGTAGGAGAACTTCAGGGGCCCGGTACCATAGAGTGACCACCTGGGAAGGGAGTCGGGGGGGAAAGGAACATGCAATGGCCATGCAATCATAAAACAGCAACAAATCACAAACTGAAATCGCGTATACCAAACAAAAAGTGATATTAATTGCTAAAAAAAGAAGGAAAAAAAAATACAAAGTAAGGACCTTACTCAGGGACTGAGGAGGATGATTTACAATAATGCGCCTCCAAGTGTTTGCAGCGCGTTGGCCAATCACGATGCGCAGAATCTGTCGACCCAATGCGCATTTGGAAGGGGTCGACAGATTTCGCGTGTTGTGATAGGCCACCTTGCAAACTACTGGAGGCGCACTAGTGAATCGCCCGTACTGCAAAAGAACAGAATGCGCTTGCATGTGGTTGCTTGCATCCATGCTACATGTTTCTGTAGAGCTGATTAGTTGAACTGAAACCCAAGCAACTTCAAATAAATCGCTCATATAGTAACTGCTCCATTCACCAACTTCAAATGCTACATTTTGCTCTGGGGTCCTATTTGCATTCAATTTCTGCATGTAAGAGAACAAACCTGAGGTACTGTTTGAGACTCAGTACTCTGATCGTAACAAGTTCAAGATGCAACTGGCACTCCTTGCGAACTGTGTTGGAAATTGTGCTGATGTACATGCACAGGCAGCAAATATGATGCCTAGAGCATAGTATCTCAGTTAATTTGTCTTGACATTTAATAATTGAGGACGAATCCAACACTGCATCTTGCAAGTCATGCAAAATAAAATACAGGGATATACTCTTGCACAATAAACTTAGATCCAAGAGCAGAAACAAAAATTGAAGGTGAAAGAAAAGAAAATAAGAAGGAAAAGCAAAGATCTGCAGCGATGTAATCAAGGTATGCAGACAAACAACACCAAACATTCTAGACACCCATTTTCTTCAGGGATCACGATCCCATACTCAGGGTTGCATACCTGTAAATCTGTTACCAGCTATGATAGAACAGGCAGACACCAGATGGGATAGAAAAGGGTGGGATGATAACAGGGCGATACATTTGTACACGTATACATGTATCCCCCTCTCTCAGTCCAAATATGACAATTAGTACATGTATATCAAGATGTACACTACTCAAAAAAGTTAAAGACCACTTTTAATTTTTTTTTCAAGCAATGAGTGGGGTCTAGTTCTTTCATTTTTTGTTTTTCTAGATTGTGTTCTCATTGAGAATAAAAAACTTTAAAAAAATGTTTCAAAACATCACTTGCACATTATCAGCAGTAAAATATCTCATATAAAAAAGTATACCCAAAATAACAAGTGGTCCTTAACTTTTTTTGAGTTGTGTACTTTGCATCAGCAAGATGTTTAAGTTTAATCACACGTTTTGCCCTTACACTGATGTATATTCACAAACACTGCATACTCGGTGCTTGTCCTAGAGCTAATGAAAAAATTTACAAGCTTACTCGGGTGGGACTCGAACCCACGACTTTTTGCTTACTGGTGCAGACAATTGAACTACTCGACCACTGAGCTTGTTCAAGTCAGTTGGGTGGTCCGAGTCAGATGTGCCAGCTGGTGCCACAACCTGAGATGCTTGCACTAGTAAGCAGCAGGTCGTGGGTTCGAGCCCCACCCAAGTAAGCTCTCTGACAGGCACTGAGTATACAGTGTTTATGAGTATACGTTGGTGTAAGGGCAATACCTCTTAATAAACATGACAATTAGTAATCCGCCCCTCCTTCTACCAGTGCTTTTGTAACATTTAACAGATACATTTAAAACAGACCACGGATGTTAGAGCCATTTGGAAGCCGTAGATCCTAGCCAGGCCAAAGTCCGCCAATTTCAGGTGACCGTCACAAGTCACCAGGATATTCTGTGGTTTAAGGTCCCTGTGGATGATGCGGTGCCCGTGGAGGAAATCAACGCCCGAGACAAGCTGGAAGGCAAGCTCCTGCAAAGGTAAAAAATCACAGAACACACAACACGCTTTACTGGGCTGTATTCATGCCATACGATTCTGTTTTGGCCAACACTGCACCTCACTGAAGCAGTATTGCTCAGAATGTGTGCCATCATCTCCAAAAAATTGTATCGTGACACAATAAAAAACGACAACAGAGTGACAGTTTTAACTTTGTTTTTTGATCATACATGCATGTACACATTGGTCAAACAAGTTTGTTTGCCGTAGAGGCAACAACTGCTCTATAGAATGGGACAATGTTATAGTGAGAGTTTTTTCAATAAATTGTACTGAAAATTACTGAGTTGTTACTGGCACTGTAAAGCTTTGATCTATTGAATTAAAATCATAACCATTTTCCCACATGTCAGCATTTACAAATCAAAGCTTATCTTCAGAAGATTTAATTTTCCCCATCACCCATTCTCAGTTTAAAATGTAACAAATTGGTATCAGAGATCCAATCTCTCATCGATGTAGCTAAATACAAACAACAGAAAATATCAAGCAGGCACCCTACCACATGTATGCTGAGTTCTCTGCACAAAGTAGCTTTCAACTGTTACACTTGAGTGAGCACATGTACATACTCCAGTAAAAAGGAATACTTACCTGGCCATATCATATTAGTGATCAGGCAAGTGTAAATACCAGTTAAGGAAAGCAGTAGCGTACCCAGGATTTGTCGTTAGGGGAGGGGAGGGGGTTGGGACCAGAATTTACCCCTCCCCCCACCTTGCACCACAGGGGACTAGGATGCAGCTATATCAGAGCTAGTAATTTAAGATGAAGGTGTGCATGGTAGCTTTGTTTTTTAACAGGACCTAGTCATTCCCCTACTTTACCTTTTTTTACAGACAATTATAATTTTAATATTCTTTTTGTATACCTTTATTTTGGAGGGCTGGAGGCCTGGCGAGGGGCACTTTTCCAAGTAAGTGGCCAGGTCCATGTCAATGTACTCAAAGACTAGTGTCAGACTCATCTCATTGTTGCCTGTCATACCCCCATGACACACATCCAGCAGCCTGTTAGTAAAGGAGTTGGTAAGATGTATCAAGCACTTTCAACCATCGAGATCGAGAATTGTTATTTTCTGAAAAACAAAACAGGTTTGAAATTGCCGGGGACTCTTCAATCAAACAAAATCATCAATATCTTGCATGAAAGAGCAATGATGAAAAAGGTGAATAAATGTGGGGTTTTAGTTCCATGAAGTTGGTTACGTACATTCTGTGACTCTCAAGTATAACCTTGTCTTGAGGTAAACCCCATAAATATCAGTTCCATGTACAAGTTAATCAATTCCCTTGGATCTTTGGTCACTTCTGTCGAACAACACTGCAATGGACACTACAACAGAACAAATAAAAGGTTCAAAATGTACACATCTAAGCAGCACTCATTCTTACTAATTTTAAAGCTGTACCAAACAGTTTTTCTACCATCAACTAGAGAAAAAGAAAATGCTTATACTGTAAAGTAACACAATCTTTCTGACCCCTTGAAAACTGCAGTCATTTATTTAAGCCCTTGTGTGACCTTTTCAAATTCAAATCCTAAGGAATGTGGGGGCTTTTCATCCAAGCCACCTGACACTATGGGGCAGAGCTCAGCAAATCAATGAGCAAACACAAAGACAGGAGGCCATGAGAACAGTAATCCAAGACAAAATGCAAACTCAAGAAGGATATGCCCTTACTCCATGCTGGGGCCAGCAGGCCTCAGGGAAGTCAGCATACATGCACATGTACATGGGCCCCACTAACACGTACATTTATACACAACCACAATCATCTCCCCCTCCAACACCGGTGAGAGTCAAGAAATGAACTTTAACAATTTCACTGTAGAGATACATATATATACATAGGTTACACATTAATATAGGATTTGGTTATTGAAATAATCAGAAAATTGATGAAAATGTACAGCTTATTTTAGGGATCCTGGGGCCAATTTCATAGTGCTGCCTAAGTGAAAAATTGGTTTAAGCATGAAAAAAACCTTGCTTGACAAATCAGGTTACCAGCCAAAACGTCTTGTGATGTGTATAAGTTTGGAATGATATTTACCAGTCTTTTGGTTAGCATAACAATCAGCTGGTAACCTTTGTTTATTAAGCAAAGTTTTTTCGTACTTGAGCAAACTCTGTGCTTAAGCAGCTAAATGGCCCCTGGCAGGACATGAACATTTACTGTATCCACTTATGTTTTTTAGGTTCTTCACTTCAACCCAGGTAAAAAGTTCCCTTGAATTACAAGCTGCCGGTCGGTGTTTTACGATTTTGATTTTGACATTCGTATTCACCTTCCTTTATTTAAATGGTGGCTGGGCCCTTTAAAAAATGCCATTGTTATGTTTATTAGGCTGTTACATAACGGCTTTTTTGTTCGCCCTCAGCCCTGTAAGAAAATCAATGGGCAAAAAACAATGGGCGGGCTGGATGACACATCCATCCGCCAGGCTGGCCTAGAGCGCTGTGATACTTCATGCTATTGTACTTCACAATAGGAGGATTATAGCCGATGGTGACTCACAGCAGTCATTCTGGTCCCCACATGAGGCTGCCCGGCTGTGTAGATCAGAAGAATGTGGCCCATATGGGGTCAACCAGCGCTAAGTGGTTAATTAATGTTACTCATTCAAAAAACCTACATGGTGTTCATTTAAACTGAAGTTTAATAGTCTTTTTTTAACAAAATAACATTTAGAAAAAAATGAAAACATTGAAACAAGTTTGGCTTACAACCGATGGTGTTTCCATTCTTTAATTCAAACACAAAAAAGTAAGTCCGTGTGGCACATGTGATGTCTGTTGAGTAACAAGTGTTACTTTGCATTCGTGAAATAATTGTTCAAATGGTGTTTATCTAACACTGGAGTTGTCTTTCTGTGATTGTAATCTAAAAGTAACTAAGAAAGAATATGTAATACATTGCATGTAATTATTAGTCATATTTTGAATTTAAATATTCAGATTTAAGACACAAAGTGTCTGTCCATGTGAAATACGTCAAAATCATTGTATTTCCAAGTGACAAACATTATAAGAAAAAAAGTCAGAGTTTCTTAATGTTAAGTCATGTAAACGGCAGAACATATGGAAAATTTGAACTGAGGTCTACAGGGCCCTTACTATTCTATTTTTAACTTAAGAAGACGAGTATCGGGGAAAAACACATTATTTTCAACTGTCCTGCCTGTCCAGGTTATTTCTGTTGAATCGTAACTCCCTAGAATTTCTCAAGAAAGAAAGCTGGGGTGAAAGCTCCATTAACATAATGTGGTGAAATATATGAATTTGTTTCATCTAATTTAGAATGACCTTCAGGCAAACGAAAGAATGCACTTCTGTAACTTCTTAAACTACTGCTCAAGTTGGAACAAGCTGTACTGAGTATCACATATGTATCCTAGTACTAATACTTCATTACTAGTATGAAGTATTTTATCTGAATTCAGTTTACCAAAAAGAACTTACTTGACGATATTTTGTGGTTCCAGCTGGCCAAGGTGTTTCAGCAAACCTATCTCTCGCAGAGTTGACATTGGTATCCCTTCCTCTCCCGACGTGTGGAGTCGTACTTTCTTCAGTGCCACCACCTTCCCCGTCTCCAGATCTCGAGCTTTGTACACCGTGCCATAGGCCCCCGTCCCAATCTCTGATATTACAGCATAATTACTGGCTTCTGACTGCACTTCCATCCTCCTGTGCAAATTTGGGCTCCAACTTGTCTGGACGATTTACCGGTACCTGTTGAACTTTACTTTGGCAAGGGGCACTTCAAACAGTCTCCCTCTTGGACTCATTCTTATGGAAACTGTATATGTTGCACATTCCCACTTATCGTACATGTACCTTGGCATGCATGTACCAACTGGTGCCAACCATAATGCAGTGTGAAGCCTTGATATTCTTGGTATGGTTATTCCAGGGTTTTCAAAATGAAATGATCAATTTGCATTCTCTTTTCGTATGTTTTTTTTTCAGTGTCAAGGACAAGTTGGGTGAATAATAACGTACAGAAACTGATCACAACTAAACAACTGTCTAGAAGAGCTCAGCCTTCAGACTTTCCCACCAATCTCAACCCTGCTTGGCTGAAGTTGAGGCCTTTGGGTCATGGCAGGTCCCAAGAATTTCAAAAATGTGTAGGGTCCTGACATCATCCTGCAGAGTTTTCATTAAAAAAGAGGAAAAAAATCCAAGTTTCACTACATGAAAACTAAGGGGCCCCTTGGTGATCAGTAATGTTATCAAAAGGGGCAAGGGATCCTGTTCTACATCCTCCTAAATAATAGCATACATATTATTTTTTTTGGGGGGGGTTGAAACATAGTTGGTGGATGTGTAACATAGGGAACAAATATTCTAATTTCCTATTCCAAAATCAAATTGAGACAACATTGCAAATTCTGGTCTATCCCTTTTTGTGGACAGATTTTAATAACTCAATCTAAAAGCTCCCTTTGTAAAATCCTACATGGAGGATGTTAGCTTCACCACGTTCACTGGGTAGTGGTCTATTTGAAAGCTTGCCCATATTACCAGACAGATTGTGCCAGTCTTCATATCCAAGCCAATCAGGCTGAAGTTTCACAGTGAAAACAGATCAAAGCAGCCCAGTCAGACCATGTAGTGGGATGTTTTGTCAAAAATCAACTGGGAACAATGCACACTACACCTTATTTGAGTTAATGTAAATACTTTCTGAAAAAAACTTTCTTTCTTGAAAAATTACAAAACAGAAATCAAGGAATTAAAAGATATGCTGGTTATCTGGTGATAAGTCACAAAATGAAACACAAGGTAGGCCCTAATTGATCTTTCACAATACATATAAAAATCCAACCCCTCCCCCCAAAATGGGCTGGTAGTTGATTCAACAACACCAAAGAGTTGGGGGGGTCCCAATCATTTGAGAGTATCCTTCCCACGCTCAAACTCTGTGCAAATCACAGAGTTCAAGGACTGAGCTTATATATCAACAAGACGTCTGGAAAGCATGTACATGTATGTGTAACTTGTGCAGCAGGGTTCAGTGACTCAAACTTTGCCCTTTGGAATGTTCAATTTGCTTAGGAGAGCTGATAAAAGTGGTCTCTTTGGCAAGAACACAATCACACTGGCATGAATAGAACTACATCAATCCAAGTTGCCCACACAAACATCAGCATAAATTTATGGTGTATATTGAGAGAAGCCCTCAGTTTTGATAAGTTTTGGTGTGACATGATAATAAACACTTTCCAACACTTTTTTTGCATCATACCATACCATACCTGTGATTCCTAATTGAGGACATCTTCAGAATAAACATCCGTTACCCTTTATACCTCTATGAATGTGTCCTTGATGTACAGGTACTGTACACGCACAATATAAATGTGCCCTCAGAAACCAGCTCCCAGTACATGGGGGATCACTGCAAACCAAGGGAAGTGCCCATTTCCCAATTCGTTACACTTCTGTTTGTATTAAAATGAACTAGTTGACACCTCACAGTGGGGGGGGGAACCTTTTTTGTTAGGAATATTTGGGCAGGATTAAGGGGAATTTGGGTAATCCCAGCATTTTGATCCCCACAATACCGGCACACTGTAGCAACGTTTGTGCTGTACAGGCGGAAATGAGTGGTCCCAACAACTTTGAAATAAGAATGCTTGAGATCACTTTGATAATCGCTTAGCAGCAAACATCCTGAACTATTTCAATCACATTTAAGTTTAACAACTGGTACACAACTACTGCTAATTTAAACTGTAGAAATGTGTGCTTATACACGTATTGTGGACTTCTTTGCCCTTACTTCCTTTCCTATGGGATTGGCCAACTACATGCGGTCTCCTCTGGGTTCAGTAACTTCATTGAACAAATTTGGGAGCGAACAAAGCACTTTCACACAATATGCAAGCGAGTAATGAATAGGGCCAACATGTATGAAGTTCATTTTGGGCCAAGGAACACGCTCATGCATGAACTGACAAAGGGTTACAATTTGAGAAGCTCAGGAGGTGGAACTGCTTATTTTTGTGTGAGTGTAAATGGTATACAGTGTGCGTTTCCATTAAGGTTCAGTCTGGCTGAACCAAAAGATAATAAGAAACCAACTTGGAATAATTCCTTGCATGTCGGTGAAACTTTCAAGTAATGTATACATGGCACAGGTCTATTGTATACATGTACATATACTAATGAATTTGACATATTTCTTTCACTTTCTTTTTGATCACTTGTTACACATGATTCACTTGTAAACACTTCCACAAAGATGACTGCAATCTCTCAAGCAGAGATTGCAACAGGTACAGTATCTCATACATGTAAGTCGGCATCAGTTGGGTACACATTTCTATATCATGCTGCAAAGTTACGAAATTTATCACATGAGCATAATGGGGACACAAATGGCATGCTCCCCCACAAGAAAAATGAGAGCATCCAGAAAGTTACTAAATGTACATGTAATTATTGTCACCATACATACACTGTACATTATGATACAGATGGATGTATCCCAACAAAGCTTTGGATGACACTGGTTTTGTCTTTAAACTTGGGTTTGGATCAAACTCAGCTTTACTCTATACTCAATCTGTCCTTGGTAAGAGTGTATATAAGAGGCTTCACCATATGGCGTCAATTTCAGAGCTTACCGGTAGATTGAATACGACTACGTATGAGATACGACTTAACTATAACAGTATACTTCTTGGAAACACAAGAGGCCAAGGCCTAGGCCGAGTTATTTTCTCTAGTCTGTCGGTCTGCTTAACTATTGCAAACATGTGAATACACCTTTTGGTGAAATTAAAGAAATGGCGGGGCCTGCAGTACATTCAAGGAGGAATACGGGTTAGAGTTTCATATACAGACAACACAAATTTTCCCTTAACATGTTCTAACAGCTGTCAGAAAGTGATAACATGTCCTAAGAAGTGAAATTTAGCTAAGAAAATTCCAAAGCATAATTCACTTACGGTAGAAAACACTTTCAAAAACAGGTTTTTTCACACAAGTCTCAAACCGGTAGGCCTATTATCAGTAGGTTTGTGTACAGGGCCTCAAGTGTTGTCTGTATGGACCTCTTTCCAGAATATGTAGGCCTACAATGTGTTCTGATCTTATTCTCCATGCTACAACCTGATCAGATAAAAGTGGGCAGCTACATATAGTACATGCACAGTAAGTAGCTGAAGAGACCAACATGATCAGGGCATCAGGGCCACGCCGCGAGCCATGGTGTTATTGGTTAATACTCAATACTCAAAATTAATAGTTCCAGTGAAAACACTATAAAATATTGTCTTCCAGGGCACACTGTTAACAGCACGAACAACAATAGATTCTTAAGAAACACAGGACAGGTTCAGACATTAATCCGTGGCCGTGGCATGGACGGGGCTTCGTATGACAAGCGCATGACAAGGCCCCACGATTTAGGCCATCATGGCTATGCCAACTTCAAATGCCTACCGTGAAACAACTTTCCCACGCTAATTTATGATACAAGCAACGTTCACACTGCCTAAAACAAGGCAAGGTTTAAATTCTGTTAAGAAACTAACCGGCTGATCTCAGTTTTGTTTCAAATTCACATACCTAACTCATCTTGTTTCTCACGAAATAGGCCTCCCCACTGCACCCGAAGGACAAAAACCTATACCGTACCACCTAGTTACACAAAACCACAGCATGTTCGCGATCGCAAGCACATGGTGTGTTGGTCCTCGGCCGACATTTCTAGCAGGTACAATCTGATTGGCCAATATACTACAATAGACACAATTGGTCCAAACTTTTGCGACATTAACCAATAACCAATCGTTAATAAAGCGCGGTCAGCTTAACAGGTGTTCAGAGACCACAAACGAAATTGCTCCTCAGAACTGAATCCCAAAGGCTTTTGAAATCTTTAAAAATGTTCAGAACTTGTGTATTTTGTAGAATAAACAAAAACTGATAAAGTTGTGGTTCTTCATATAACTCCCGTGTTCTGATTTGTTAATCAGTTTATCAGGGCTACTGGTATTTATCTTTTCTTAAATTTTACTTGTTTAGACATTTAAAAATATAAGGCAAACACTATGAGCGTTTTCGAAACGAGTGGATTCGGCTTAGACTTCGGTGTCGATGTTCCAGTTGGAGCTTGAACAAGTAGTTTTGAGTGCGCCTTCAAAATGGCTGGAACCAGCCAAACCGAAGTCTAAGCCGAATCCACTCATTTCGAAAATGCTGTTTGTCAATGGAAGCATCTTCTTCCTTCGTCAGAAAAAAAATGGCATACTGTAATTTGTATGATTTCAATCAGTATTTATCACCTCTGATCACTCACCCTGTTTATATACCTGCAATCAAAATTTACAAACCACCGTGTTGTTGACACAAAAAGCAGTTAAAGCTAACTTTGGAGAAATTACAAAGAAACAAAAATGTATCCATCATGACCCTGAACATCTACGCTACGAATGGTTTTTGGCAACACGCACATAATGGCAAAAAGGGAAGAGGAGATTGGGGGTGTGGGGCGCCAACAAAAACTAGAAATTACTAGAAATTTAGAAGACAAAGCAGTGATATTAAGAAACTTGATCCTTGTACTCCCCCCCCATATAAATCCAGCTCCCCGTTCATCCCCAAAACCGTGAGGACCCTGACTATGCCGATGTACACCCAGGGTACAAACAAGAAAATATGTTGAAGTTTCAACCATCATTCAAATCCATGTTTTCCGCCTAACTGCAACCCCCTACGTTGTGTGTAAAAATCACACACCCAAAACCAGGCATGAGAATTTGATTTGTTTCTGCAACAAAATCACACATAAAAACGACCAAGTCAATAAATGTACCATACATTATTCTCTGTTACTTTTTATTACAATGATCAATTACACTTAAACACACTAGAGAAATTATTACAACAAAAAATCGAACAACTAATTATCCACATCGTCTAAATCTAAAAACAAAGTCTGGCTGCTCACTCCTTAGTGCACCTTCCAAACATTCCAGGCCGCTGTGTGATCAATTTAAACAGTGCATATCCAAAAAAATCAAATATGTGATTACTCCAACAAAAAAAAGAACAAAAAAGCAAGTGGACATTCCACAAATGCTGTCAAAATTTATCAGTAAGAATAACAGTATCGGTATTCATCCAATCAAAATGACATCAATGAAAAGGGACTCTCGATGCAAGCTTTAACGAAGGCCAACAAAGGTAGGTGAAATCTTTATGCACCTTCCAAAAACTAGTCCAGCTTGAAAGTTAACTAAACCTCTCCATTTTTACACACACTATACAGGACCAGCAAGAGGAAGACAACCCTTACAGAGTACAGTATCTTAAAAAAATGATCACAAGCTATTTATGTAGTATGCTTTTCATTTTTCAGTTTCATTAGTTTTAAATCACAACTATTCACACTGTAGAATACTATATTCTAGTTAATGCTTCAAGCATCTACTTTTTACACCATTCCTCGGCATGATCAATAACTTTGACCCGGAACTTATTTAAAAATATTTTGTTTAGGTTTCTGCTCATGAGCCAAGTGATGCCCATACTTGGCCAAGTTTGATCAGTGACAAACAAGAAGTTGGTTTTGCCTGGAACCCAATAAACAGTTTGTGCAGTGTTACCAGAGAGAATAGACTAATGGTTCCACAAATGGTCGCTGACTGAACTTGGCCCTTGATAGGGGGGTGTCACAGCCTACCAATGGCTACAGCACCTGGGGCAGTCTGGGAATGAGGCGGCGGGCTTATGAAAGTACAAGGTTATTCCTGAAGGACACCATTCATCATGACAGAAAACCATTAAGGCAAGGAATCACAAATTACACTGAGTAAGACTATAGTTGAATCCTTGGTTATAGGCAAATCCAATGACTATCGTAAAGTCACAATTGGTCGTTCAGAAACGCCCCAGCACATGGTTAGCATTGTGATAATTATCGAAGCCATTGTTCTGTGACAGCTGCTATGTACAAAATCCAGTACAATGCTTCCCATCATGAATGGTGGCCTTTGGAAATGTTCAATGTAATGTCACTAGATTTGTTTATAGACTTGGTGCACATATGCTCTTTCAATTCACTAGTGATGAGAGGTTGAGCTGTTGCTTGGATGCCAGCGACTGGGACGGTGTAACCCTTCTGGCTTGAAATTATTCAAATATTCTCATCGCCATTATGTACATGAACAAGTGTGTGCATGCAGCGTGTCAAGCCCAAGGAACTTTACGGCTAGGTGGTAAAGCGGCCTCTCTTGTGCAAGGCACCTATGAACTTGTCAAAGTACCCATGGTTTCGAGCAGATGTGCAATGGAGGACGGCATATTGCTCCTTTTGTTCCTTTCCTATTCAATGATATTCCCACGTCACCATTCACAGGCCAGAAATCTATAAGAAACCCCCCCCCAAAAAAAAAACCTCTAGAAATCTTTGGACCAAGACTAAGCTTATCCATCATAATGCTGTGCAGTAGAAATCACTTGTACAGTGGTGTGGGTGTCCAGGCCAAGAGCAGGAGCAGATCTCGGGTGGGGGGGGGGTTCAGACTTAGATCGAAAATGAAAGGGGGGAAGGTGTCAGTTAAGATACTCCCTACATCATTTTCACTGTGTAGGTCCTGCTGTTGCAGTCAAGTGCAAAGCAGGATTGTGCAGGTACACACCACCATAACCTTCAGCTGTCCTTGCCAAGATACCCATTTCAAAAAGTGCCAAATGATGATGCCAAGCAACCAAACCATGGTGAAATGTCGTGCAACACAGTGGCGTTTGGTTTTCCCACTCAATATTACCCCATGAAGCAAAGTTGCCAGTCTCATCACAACGCATATTTTTGTGGAAAAGGCAAGCTTTAAGTAAGGGGGTACTGTAGTTTAAAACACCTACCGTGGTGCAACCAATGATCATATAGCGTTGCACCGTGGCACCATTAATGTGATCTGTGGGTGACACCCATGGTTCCTGGAAGATGGCCCAGGGAACCAGACCAAGTCCTACATGGCACTGAAAACGAGACACCTGTAATACTTCCAAATCAAATTGATTTTCAAGAGTTGCAAAATTGATCATAAGACATTATGATATCAAAGGTATTTACAAAGACAAAAACTGCCAACGCACTGCCACAGAATGTAATGATATGGTACAATATCTGATTTTAAAATATTTAGCGACACCACCTCCGACATGAAAATTCTGTGGTCACCATAAGCTCCTACACTGTAGTCTAAACAAAAACATACAATCTTTGACTCCTCTATGTTTAATGACTCATTTAACCCATTAACCGAGATTCCTGCTTGTTAACACTAATGTATAGCTCAATTGCATAACTGCACATTAACTGCCAATAAGTATGTACAAAAGGATGGATAAGGTGTGTCACTCTTGCGCCATTCACTGAAACAACTTTTTAAACACTCCCATTAAATCAGCCATTTTAATGTCAAAAGCATTTTCACTGTAAGGCTGCATTTTCACTCTGTCAGGCCCAGCTTTAATGAGCTTTAATTTAATTTTACAAGCAATGAGTGGCACCTGGTTTACCTGTGCTGTTCAGATATCATTACCAGTGTTTGCTAATGAAAATACAAATACAGAATAGAACAGCATGTTATAAAAATCAAAGCAAATGAAGCTAAAGATTCAATTGGACATGCAAAGTCAACATCCAAGCCCCCACAAATTTGAATTGTTTATTTCCAAACACTACGTCCATTTGCCATTTAAAAGGAAAAAAAAAACAAGTTGTCCTTATTTCTCAAGTCCTGTACATAATAAAGCTGCCGTACTTTTGGGCATGCTCTCGGGAAACATCCCACCTCTCTTGTTTCAAAGCTAATTCTGACGATTTACAATGAGAAGTCTACAACTCGCCCATGGGCTGAATCCACCTCCAGCAATTAGGAGTTGGACTATCAGTGTTTGGAAATGAACAGGTGGACATTTGTAACTGACTTCTTGCTCGCTGAGCATTTGTGAGACAGAATATACAGCATGCAATGACTACAGAATCTTCAACATTCCTGAACGCAAAAGATAAAATGTAGTCGTTTTGTCATATTTCCATGCAGCTTCATAGTCAGGTCATGAGCAGTCAATCAAAATCCAACCAAACTGTATACAGACTGCCTCATTCATCCCCAAACAAAGCTAACAGCACAAAAGTTCTCTGATGTCAATGCAAAGCTGTTTCATACTCAACAATATTAAGGCGCTTTTGACAGATTAGAAGTCGTAAAAATAAGTATACGAAATTCATCCCATATAAATTTCCTTTACAAATGTTTAGGCTTTTTCAAGCAAGCATTCCGTCTACAGAACTTATACACGCAGGTTTAGCAGAACAGCATGTGGCACACCGAAGATCTAATTGGTTGTGTCCAAAGGCCGGATCATTACTTCACCACAGCCACATTCATTTCCGTTGAAACACAGAGGTTGTGGCAAATCACCTGGCAATTTGTGAAGTCTATGAGAGTGGCTCATGTACTCACTGTCTGCACTGTGGATTGGAACCTCGAGTCCTTGCCACTGCTACCTGCTGATAATGTAGCAAGGTATCGTGCTTAAAGTCATGTGCAGTCCATCAAAGCGAACTGCTCCAATCATCCCCAAAACAAAAAGCTACAATGTTACACTTACAATACTGTAAAGCAAAGCCAGGGTTTCTTTTGAATCAACGTTTTTTCGCCCTTCACCCACATAACTTACACGTGGTAAGCACTGTATGCTTGATACTTTCTGTAAACTTGAGAGAGATAAAAAATTTGAAAGGTTCCTCCAGTGGGGACTCGACCCGTGACCTGCTGCATACTGCTGCAGATGTCTAGACTATTCATCAACCAGGGTCTTCAAAGTCAGCTGGTGGTTATGATGGTGGAGGGCAACCAAAATATAATTCAAATCTGCATCTCCCCGGTGAAAAATAGTCCAGACAGGACACCTGTTGAGATCACAGGAACTTTTCCCGAGGGTCACCATAAAGACTACAACAGCGGAGACTGTACATGCAATAAAACAGTGACAGGTGAGGGGGGGGAACAATGGACAAAATGCATTGGCACAACATATCTGGGCATGAGCATAAGCTTGTTGGTCAAATGACAGTCTGGCCTTGCATGCCACTGCAGTTTGTGCCTTCATCTTCTTTTAGCTATGGCATTCTTGCACCAGATAAAACTACACCATTTCAAATCAAACTAAGTCGGTTTGTGTCGAAACAGCCTGATGACAGAGACCACTGGAGCTTGCAATTTGCTGGCCAGAAGAGTCTCACCGAGTGGTCACTCTTAACCATGTCTGGCTGAGGCTTTGTGCCAAATTGAGTTTGGCAAATGCATATTCTGTGCAAGTCTGCCAGTTCATGTTGGAAGTTGGCACCCGTGATCAATGTCATGAACTCATGAGCACAGAAATTTTTAGCGGGGCCCAATTTCAAGGCACTGCTGAGCACACAATTTTACACTAACAGAGGCTCCACATCTCTCATGGAGACCGTAAGCAGTGAGCACAGCAAAAAGCATGCTTACCTTGGAGGAAAATGTGCTTAACTTAGTGACGCAACAAGGGAAATCACCATTCGCACTCATGTAACCGTAAAATGTTCACCATTAAAATTACATTGAAATCAGACGATTTGGGACTATCAGGGTAAAGCACTATTTTGTGTTACGGTTAGCAAAAAATTTGCTTAACGGTAAGCAGCGCCGTGAAATTGGGCCCAAGCCACCAGCTAAACTTAGTGATGCATAATACTCTTGACCAGATCCCTCTGTTACTGAGCAAAGAAATTTTACCAGGTTATGAGCCAAAAATTTGGCTGCATCCAAATCACTTGGCTGCGGCTTAAAATTACGCACAACTCTGTGGAAACTGGCTGCAGCCACTACCGAAGACTCTTGTGCCAAGTTGTTTGGACACAGCCTATGTGATGTGTACTACTCTAGGCTATTTCTTACTGGTACTTTGCTGAGCAAGTGAAATTTGCTGAGCAGTATTTTTCATCAGCAACTGCAAGAAAGTGGAGCAGTGGTCTCTGACCGAGCTAGGTATTTCTTCATTACATGCTTTAAGGCTCACTTAGTAGCAATCAACTTGGAGGGAGATACAAAATGAATCCACATTTGTGGTGCAAGTTGTAAACAAAGACCTGTCCGGATCACTGAGCAACACGACACTTCTTTACTAAACTTGTACATTTCTCGTGCAGAATACACATCTTACAATGTCACTTTTTGAAAATTACAAATTACATCTCTAAATTCATGGTCATAAATACGTATAAAATCTTATTTTTACATGTATAAGGACAAAGACATCTTTTTTCAACAATTTTTGCAAGTATTTTTTTCTGTTGCTTATGCCATGCACTCTCCAGTCTGCGAGGGAAAAACGGATACTGATTCAAATAGTTACTGATTCTTGCAAATGTACAAAATATATTTCATGATCAACGTATTCCGAAAATATTTTAATCAAGGATGCCCCCAAAACTGACAAACAGGGCTTGGTGAGATGCAAATTTGAAAATCTAAGTTAAAAACGACTAAATGTTATACCACTAATCAACCTTCTCCATTATTTGAGACGTCTTTAATCTTAATCCAACATTACACAGGGGGACCCTTCAGGGCACAGTAGTCCCAAGCCAAAGTTCACCAGAAGATTTTGGGTGGACTTAAAAAACCTTTAGGAAATCCTGGGCACACCATTTCAATACATTCTATGCCATAGTTGGTTTGTTTGTTTGTTTTTTTATTGATGAAATACTACCATCTAGAGGGGATTCTCTTCACAGATGTTTCGTGCACCTGACTAACATCAGTTGACATCTCAGCGCCCTCCTCCCTTAGTGACTATCCTTGCCATTCTCGTCTGGATGTGGATGGCGTTGCTTCAGTCCGTCGCCATTCTTGATGGTGCCATCAACAACCCTGGATGAGAAAGGGACAGGAGCCAATGGAACAATTAGTATCAAACACTGAGAGACAAAAGAAACCTGACACTTGCTGCTGAAACGCTTGTAGAGGATGTCGTTTCACAACAAAAAGGAGTCCCAGGTGTGGTATTACTTGGGGCAATATCTAAACTTTTTAGCACAAAGTGCCACAGCCATTCTCGCCCACAAGTGGGAAATCTCAAGTGCTTTTGACATTCATTTGCACAAGATGTACAGAATAGTTCTTTCCACAATGCCATGTTTCCAGCATAAAGAGGGTTTGGGTCTGTGCCAAAAAAAAGGAGAAAAGTTGTTACAAAGTCTGATGGACAACAACCTCTTAGCTGCAGACTTAATTCTGGATTTTGAAAAAAACTTTTTAAGTTTACGGGCTGTACTGATGACATCACACTTTGTGCCCATGTGCACTTTTCTATGGAGTAAGTGGGGCCCACAGTCCACTGACCACCACAGAAAAGTGCAATACACAAACGAAGTGTGGCATCATTCCTTCCTCAAGTCCTTGTGCTACCTCAGGACAATTTATCCAACCCTCCTGAATCCAAACAAATCCAAACAGCAATTTGGGGGATTTGCCAAAAAACAGTGCTGTTGGATTGCTTTGCAATTTAATTTATGAGCGATGGTTTCTGCTTAGAGCAATTCTGCATATACTTTGGAAATTCAGTCACATTGTTGCCTCAAGATTTATAAAAAATGAAAGAAGAAGTAAAAGTAATGGTGCTGTTTACTATTTCCACTGTCTTTTAAAAACTTTTGAGATTTACCGATGATAATGAGGACAGTAACACAGCGACCAAATTTCCAACTTTCATGTAGACCTGCGCCACAAAAATTAGTTCTTTGTCCCCTTCTGACTGGCATACTCAGTAAGTTGTCACGGGAGTCCGACAGCTTCACCTACCCGTTGCAGACTTGTTCTGTGGTCTCTGCACCGCCCTTCTTTTGCAGTTCCTCTAGCTCCTTGGTCTTCTTTATCTTCAGCACCTCCTCGTCTGTCTCCTCCCGAATGTCTTCCAGCTCCTTCATGGAGCCCGTGACAATCCTCACCAGGAAGATGACAATGAACTGAGAAGTAAGGAAACAAAGACAGTCAATGAACAAAGTGCCGACATTTTCAGTTATGGCACGGCACGTGAAGGCAGAGTGTGAGACTGTGAAATGGATTTGATTGCCACGGAGCATCTGCCGAGAAAATAATCCCTTAGAGTCAAAGTGCATTCAACTTGAGCCAATCAAAAGCAGAAGTGCTAGATGTAGAGGTCACAGATTTGAATTCACATCTGCCTTTGTGCCGAGTATGAACCTGCCGAGAAATCAAACTATGCACACATGCATGCAACATGGTGGAAGCAATGCAAAGTAACTGGTTGGTGAGGGGTTCCTGAACTGATTAGCTTTGAGTGAAGTATCACGGTTTTCCCGTTGTCACACAGAATCCAAAGCTCGATAAACACAACATAGTGCAAGGGGACAGTTCTGCAGAATTGCTGGTTCTGGGTGTTGGCCAAGTTTTCTGAACTTTTCTGAACAAAGAGAGCTCAAAATAAATAAAAACCCTGCTTACAACATTCAGGGCCATCATATGACCATTAGAAGCCATCTCCACTGTCATGCAATCTGGAGTGAAGTACAAGCCTTTCAAATTAATTTCTCACAAAAACATGGAAGGTGTGACGTTTCAATCCTGGCAGAATCTTTCTCAAAGGCAAAAAAAGGCAATGCATTTTACAAATGAATTTGTGACAGTTTCTGTTGTCACCTGTTGTGAATCGTGACGGAACTGTTCTTTTTCCTGTGAGAGACTCGACCAACGAGCTCTGCCAAACAACACTTCACTATTAAGAAACAGATACAGACACCAATACCATGCACGATATGGGGCCCATGAGTACCCCCCCACATGTCCAATCCCTATATTCACTCAAGACTATTGTTACCTAACACATCCCCCCCAAGAAGTCTGTAAAGAATTCCTGAGATTCCGATCAAACAATGGCCAACACAAAGGGGGGGGGTTCTCTCCGCCCCATATCTTGCATCTTGTGCGGACACCAGCATCTGTGGCAACAATGAGTAATCACCAGCTGTGCGTCACATAAGCCTGGTGTCTGAGTTATTAATACCAAGCGAACACTTACAGAGAACCAATAGATGTCCATTCCGAACAGCAGCCAGAGCATGATGTTGAATTCCATGCCAAATGGTAGATGGTCCGTGTAGTAGATCTTGGCCGTTGATGGCAGGATAGAGTACAGGACCTTCAGCGGGAACCAGTACATGCGCAACACCAGCCTTTTTGGAGATCAAAGACATCAAAATAAATTGAAGTTAAACTTTGGTATCGATTTTTTCCTTATTTCCTTGGTCTACTGCAGTAATGGTATGATCCAATTGGACACTAGCAATTTTCTGACCACTTTTGGCATGCGACCAACCAAAAGCAGATGGGGAAGGACAAAATAATGTCCGAAGGAAATGTAAGGGTGACAAGTTCAAAAGCAAAATCTTGTTGGTGTCTTGAATCTGGTTTCTGTGTCTTTAACAAACTGTGACTTTGTATTCATGTGCCTTTGTACAACTTGATGTGACTGATCAAAAGCTGATGACGGAAAAAAAATTGATCGTGCTGGTATATTTTGTCTGCACCATTTCTTGGCCTAATTTCATGCACTGTGCTGCATTACACAGACTTAAATTTCCCTCCAGAGCCTTGTTAATGGAAATGCATCATTATTCAATGCTAAAAATTCTAACATGAATTGTATATTCAAAAAAAAAACTGTGAAACTCGAGTGCAATGAGTGTGTGAAAATGCTGGGGCCGAACCTGACGTTTTTGGTGGTGCTTGTGCTTAAAGATTTCTGAACACATGTTTAAAATGCAAAAGGTAAATGTTTTCTAACTTTGAACTGAAAATTGGCAAGAAAATACCCGCAACTAAAAACGGAGTCATGTTTTTTTTGTAGGTGGCCAGAAAGTTTCCAAAACAAATAATTAGAAAGAGCAATTTTTGCTTGAACCTTGAAGTTTACAATGAAAGAGCTCTTACCAAGATGAGGTGAACACGACAAAGCCAACGTTGGCTAAAAATTCGTGGATTCCGTGAAACGTTCCATCTGCCCTGATCTTGAAGTAAATGTTGATCTTTGAAAACTCCAGACAGATGTCGCAGAAATCGTGGCAGAACAAGACTAAGATGCCAACATTATGATACCTGGGAGTGAGATTCAGAAACGCCTTGACAAGTCAACTTTTGAAGGTGTACGTACACACAAATGAGCAGAGCCTACGGTTCAGTTCTCAACGCCAAAGCCAACCTGTGCAACTCAGTACTCATGTTCACACGCCACATGACTTTCCGTATTGAAATTGAGTAAAATTTCAAATAATTTGACAGCCTTCACTACACCTAACTGGTAACCTATAGGCTAGTTCATATTTGGCACAAACAAAACAAACGTGAAATTGATGTCAGCTTAAATATTCATGCTGCCAATTCAGAGAAGTTCAACATATTTCATCTCAAAAGGAATTTCGCTGCAAATGTTTTGTGATGTCAAATTCACTTCCCTAATTCGCATCTTCCTTTTGAAAGTGTGAACCAGCCATGAGGCTGTGAGGTTTAAAATAAGCAATCAACTACATATACAGAATACAAGGACTGGCGGATGCTTACATTCCATTTTGCTTTCAAATGGAATGCACTTTTACGCTGTGCACCTGGAGAGCTGCATAAGATTCTGTTACCGAGCATTCTCAAAACCTCCCTCAACTAAAAAGAACGAGCTAGTCCAATTTATTGATATATTTGCCTGCCCTCAGAGAGCTCCTGATTTTGACATTCCATCTATGAACATACTCATACTGATAATTCCAACTGTTACTGCCTTGCAGAGAGGACGAATGAGAGCGGGGGGGGGTAACCAGCCTATAGCAATGGATAATACTATACATTCTTAGCCTGGTCAGTGCTGCAGTGTTATGGAGATGGGCAGCTGCCTGCTGAGCTTATTGGGTTGGGATATGCCTCCTATGCAATGCACCGTTATCAGGAACATGACATGAAAGTGGCTGGCATGCTTATTCTGCATTACTTTCAACCTCTCTCAGAAGTCTAAAAACTCAAATGTGCACCTTTTTTCACATGAAAATCTTTTCCTAGCTTTTCCTGACAAATGAGAGTGCCATGATGTCTTTTCAGAAACAAACTGTTCATTTGAGTCTATTAAACAATTGGGCCCCCCAAAAAAACTCAGAAATTTTTATACAGGAAAACAGCCAAAATTCTGGGAAAATTTTGTTCGGAGATGGCTATGACTTTTAAAGTTTCCTCCAGAAATGGCACTGCACTCAGTTCATAACTATGTACATTCACATTAGTACAAAAGGAAAAAAGCCATCAAAATATAAACAAAAAAGTTGAAAATACATGAAAGGGTACATAAGGGTGCAATAATAAGGACTTCCAAAGTGACTCTGTATGTCCCTTTAAAAACTTCTACATGTAGCTCGGAACGTTTTGAGAAAGAGCACGTGACTGAACTTGTTTTTTTTAAACTGAAGTTTAGGTCTTAAAATAGGAATTTGAGGTTTAATGTATTTCTGAAGGGCTTTCTTGTGATTTCATGAGAATGTAATTACACAGGCTGCTTTTTTCAGTACCAAATTCCACTGCCATAAATGCAGAAATTTAATCACACTGTTTATAGGTGAGGGTAGTATTTCATGTGGATCCCTCCCAAAAAGCCATGTGAAATTGCATTAAAACTAGCCGAGCGTGAATGAGTGTCAGCTGATACGGGACTCCACACAGGCCATTCAGATTAGATGCCACTGCAATCGGCAATCAAATGCATCTCTACCACCTACACTACAAAGGCGCCCATGCCTCAAGTTCACCCTGATTTAGCATCAGGGCGTGCGTACTGACTCTACAAAAATCCAACCCTCCTTTTCCATTCCATCTAAAACCTGGAAAATTCCCGACATCTTTGTGAAGAAGCTTTGAATCTTCCACACATAAACTTCTGCAGACAAACGGAGGCATGTTCTGCATGGTTCAAAGAAATGATCGCGCATTAATTTGGGCGTCAACTGTACACGCCCTGGTATGGTGCTTGTCGCTTTGACGCCAACACAAAAAAAATTGGGCATTTTGGATTCTGATCTCTGTTCACATGGTCAAGTCTGACCATGTCTTGCCTGGTCTTGCCCTTGCCTGGATGAGAGATAACAGGGCACCCCTCCTCCACTAGTGACACATATCACCAACTGCCATTTTGGACTGCTATGATTGACCTAGAATATGATAAGAATCCCTATGTAACACCAACAGTGTCAGAGCTGTTAAATGTACAGTCCTGCATCCGTTAAAATACTGCAAAACCTTGGGCCATATCTCAAAACCGCATAGCACTGCCACAGCGGAATGTACTGATGAACAAATTCGATCAGCCAACGGACCAGCCACACGATTGCATGCCATTTGGGCAGGTGTCCTGCTTTTTTTGCTGGGCAAGTTTCTGCACTGAGTGGTCCCATGAAATTACAGGCGCGTCTAACTCCCGGGTTTGTTTTTTGGGGGTATTTTCACGGGACTTTAGAACGCAGACTCTGAGCTTAATCGTGAAAGGAAGCTTTCTGTCAAGTTTCCTCCTACCTTGAAGCAGCACACTGTACACGAGGATCTATCATTTGCTAAGTCTGTGGCGTGTTTGTTTTGGCCCTGGGCAAATGGACGCCATGGCAACTGTTGCCCCATCCTTTCTACCAGTACACTGTATGCCAACTGGTAAGGAGTTATCTATGCATGGAGCAGATTGTTCCTTGCAGCTCCTCCTCATAGACTTTGACGTATCATTTAAAGGAATGGGATCAATCAATTCTTATAGTAATATATACACAGAGCCTTTAACAGTGACTCTAATTTATGCACAGACATGTACACACGGTCGCTTGACAGTTCTCAGAGGAGAACATTCCTCACTGAAAGAGAGAAAACAATGACTGCTGGCTCAACCAACCTGGATGCATAAGAGAAACCTATGAGGCTGAGGGTGAGCACATGGTGCATGACGAGCATAACCGAGTCTGACCGCCAGACGTCCAGGAAGATGGTGGCAAAGAAGCAGTGCAGGTAGAAGCTGCATTCGATTGCATAGGCCCAGTAGATCAGAGGGGGCACTACCATGGCTGGTTGCCAGCCTAAAAAAAAAACGGAGGAAGAAAAGACAAAAATGGTAACACAGAGCGTCACTGAAAGGATTTTTTCTTGCTGTTAATTCCTGGATTTCTTTACAGGTGCCAAACTCCTCTTAATTCAGACTGAGCTGGGGCACAAGTGGCCAAAGTGATTGCTTGGATGACTGAATCTTATTCTACTACATGCAGCGTATTGCACTTGGGTAAAGACTGGAACGCATCTTGATTCACTGCTGGTTACAAATGCTTTCAAGAGCTCAGCATACTGTGCAGAAGGTCTAAAAGATCTTGTGATTGCCTTGAGTAATGGCTTTTACACAAGCTAGAACAGAACTACATGTACATGTACAGTGTAGGGGTAATAACTTTGTGGAGGGAGGGGCATATTTGTGGGGGGTAAGTGGCCGGCTGATTTTGTCTATTCTCACCTTTAAAGATAGATGGTGGATCCCCAAATATATCAAATTCTGACTGACTGACCACATACGCGACGTAGGACCAGGAGATGACATAGAAAAACATGCGCCAGGAACTCTCGGCCATCTTAGTGACATTGCCTTTAGTGAGGTTGCAGCTGAGAGCAGTCGGCTGTAGGACGTTCAAGAGAATTAAAAAGAACGCATTACAGAAGATTTCCACTATAAAACTGCTGTGAGAGAGACTTCATGCGGTTGTTACAAATTCACATGAACACCACTGTTAAGTGCTCACATGACATCAGATGTCTAAGTCATTGGGGAAATGTTAACATTACTGCACTAGACCGTGGGATGAGTCAAATGATTTAGGTGACATTTGTGAACCTTCTACACGGGTCATGCAATAATTGGGATCAGCTGTGATATATCGTGTCCCTGTTACACCCAAACTGTGTGACATAGAATATATCACTGGAATTGACTTAAAAGGTACTTTACACTACTTAATGTTGGAAATTGAAAAAAAAAATGGATCCTAAGCTTACAAAAATCATATTTAAGATATGACAGGGCCACATGAACAACTGTACCCCAAATCCATATGTGTATAATGACCCAAAACTATTCAAACTAAGTGAACTAACCATACTGAAAGTGGTCAAATGATTTTTAACACTGTTCGTCAAAAACTGCAAGTGCTCTTTGAAGTCTCAATGTACGTGTATTACTTGTGTTTACACTTAAGGAGGTGAAACTCACTCTATTACATTTTCTGGTCCTAGTTCACACCATTATGAACAATAATTGTCGCAACCTGACCTTGCATATAAATTATGCATATGAACATGTACAGTATGGAGCACAGTCTTGTGTCATGATCAGCATACACTGTATGTACCGGTACAGGTACATATGCTGGTAGTACATACATACATGCACAGTACATCCCTATGCTTCCCAAAAGACTTAGTATGGTTAGCTACAAGCACATGGAGTTGTGAGGTTAAACAAACATCATACACAACTCTGCCGCACACTGGCTTAACCATCCACAGACAAGCACATGCACATTTGTGATGGGCAAACCCAAACATGCTTGTACAGTCTACAATCCTGGACCAATCTCGTTGGAACATGCCTCCCCCTCGCCCGCTGTCAATGTTGTTTCTCACTGGGTAAGCTGGGCTTAATCTTGGTCCAATAAATGACCGCAACATTGAATGGGGGAGAGGGGGATCTTTTCACTGCGCTTCCCACAAGGTGTTCCAACTATTTTGTTCAGGATTGTCCGAGTTTCTTAGTGGAAAGTGGGTGTCATTAGTGTGGGTCCAGGAGGGCGGGGTTTTGCCGCATTGCTGTTTTAGGCACTGCCGTGTGATGCTGTTGGCATTAGATGGTTATGGAGTGGAATAAATAATGACTATTATAGGCAAAATGTGGTTGTATGCCCTATCAAGAGCATAATAACCCCCCCCCCAAAGAAAGTACATGTACATGTATATGTAAATACATAGTTATTTAACCCTAACTGCCCAAACCTGCCATACTCCAACAGCAGGTTTTGTGAGGTTTCGGCAGGTTTGGTACCGTACCTGAGGAACTTGTTGTTGAATTTTGTGAGACTTGGGATGAAAGGCCCAGGGAGATGGTGTTGGATTCTGTGTGAGTTGGGATACACACGGGTCACTGTGTGCAGTGTCTGGCTTGCTGTACCAATTGTTGGACTATTCCTGATTTTGTCATGTTTGGTACTGTTCAGTGCAAGTCATCCTATACTGCATAGACCCATCCATACCATATCACTCGAACTCCAACAGGCTCATTCTGTTGGAGTTTATCAGGTTTGGTACAGTAACCTGCATGTATAAGTACATAGACAAGTACATGAACCTGTTGGATTTGTGAGGCTCAGTATGCATTGTTAAGGGCGAGATGTACGCACTCCCTATTAAGATTGGGCGGACTTTTTAGCGACAATCCTGGACCAATCTCGTTGGAACATGCCTCCCCCTCGCCCGCTGTCAATGTTGTTTCTCATTGGGTAAGCTGGGCTTAATCTTGGTCCAATAAATGACCGCAACATTGAATGGGGGAGAGGGGGATCTTTTCACTGCGCTTGCCACAAGGTGTTCCAACTATTTTGTCCAGGATTGCAGATGACAAGCAATGAGCGTGCAAGAGTGGATGAGTTGCTGCTGTACGTAATTCCAAGCCCTGCAGCAGTTCGTGTACATGTACAGGACAAGGACAAGTGCCTTCACCACTTGAGGATCAGGAATGTACATGTACAAGGCTTGTAACTTCTCTGCAAATCAGACAGGTTACGGTGCCAACTGCAAATCCAGTCTCTCTGAGATTAGCCTCTCTCTGCGGCCCAGCCGGCGGGCCATCTACCATATGACAAGGTGGCATCCTATGTAAGAAAAAAACCCTTTTGGACAGTCTCAATTGATCAAGGCATGGGATGACAAAAAGCAATGCATTTTACACACAAACTTTTGGGGAGTAATTACTCAAATGTATTTTTTTCTATTATGTTATCTCAAGTACTTTGTACCTGCTCATCAACTCACAACCAGATACAGAGTCTCTCAAAAAATTTGTTGCCACCCTAAATAAAAATTCAAAGAGGTAGAAATCTTCACAGGCCTTGAAAATACATGTAGGTGGCGCAGGAAGCTAAAAAGTGCCTGTTTGTCTAAAAAAGTGCCCCTAAATTACAAAGAAGGGCACAAATACTTACGCCCATATGTTTCCATTCTTGCCATGAAAAATACCTGAACTTTTTTACTTCAGATCATCTTTGTCATGGAACCACAATGTAAGTACAATTTTTCTTACAATGTCACCAAGCGCTAGTGCGGCAGGCTCACAAACGTGGCCAAGACCAACAGTACTAGAGCTCTGTAATCCACGTGACTTAATCTACTGTACACTGAACCGATACATGTACCTGCGTTCAGTGATACGTACCTGATGTGCAACCAGCCAGCTCAAAGCGCAAGCCTTGTGTATAAACAGCTACATGCGTTGTTTGGCTACACTACAAACACAGGGCGAGGATTCCCCTCATTTTCAGTTTTCTCCAAATGAGGCAATCTACATTCAGAATTTGCATCTTGGTATGAACAGATAAAAAGCCCTTTTAATTAAGCTTGTTATTGTTGAGCTCTGAAGAAAACTGACACTGCGTTCGATTTGGATGCTTCCATATTTATTTAACCCTAACAGTCCCAAATCCGCCAATTTCAATATGATTTTACGTACACCCTAGGGGGTTAGGGTTAAACAGATAGAGAATCATGTTTTCCTTAGAGGTGTTCTTTCAAAAAAATTCCCCACCCTAAAATTTTTGACCCAAAAACTTAGAAGAAATTATGATACTACCCACCTACCCAACTTATTTTCCTTCAATGTAATCATGGTAATAAGAAGCACAACTATTCTTTTGTTTGGCATTAAGTTGCTTAATGTTCTAGAACATATACGGCGTACGGAAGCTACGGTACTTGCCCCAGTAAACTGACAAATTCAGCTGTCTAGAGAGCAAGTAACGGTACTTGCTCTCGTGATGGTTAGCACAATCTTGAGCCCTGCTTCGTCAAATTTCTTTTGTAGAAGGGTGCCAACTACTAAGTTAGGAAAATTAATACAATTGTTCACACATGTACTGATGTAGTTGGCAGACTGAGCTCCAAATCCTGATCCTGGTCAGAAATACAGCCTACTGGCATTCCAAGACACTGTTCAAGACAAAACTGATGTCCATGATAGGGATTCCCTACATCATTCCTCTTTCTGTTTTCTTTAATATTTATTTTGAAAAACTACGAATGACCAATGCAATAATCCCCCCACTGCCGTGTGTAAAACATGTGAATATTTAATAAGGGTAACTCTGGCCTAAACTGGTTCACTTTGCCCATAGGTCTGTGCACAAACAAAACTGCCTGTTTTTTACCATCAATTCACTTGATGCAATGAGTAATGTACATGTACCGGTAGGTTTAAAAGGTTTACTCATGGTTGCACACCTGCATGACCTTTGTAAATTCAGTTTTCCATGTCAGTAGCAGAATGGTTGCTTTGACTAGATTTTTCACAACAGGAGCCCAAGCTTGAGGGCACAAACCTCCCTCAATGCACACTAAAAAGTCCTGCTGTTTACACCTCAAAACTGCCCTGCATTTTATTGTCTGTATCATTTTAAGCCATGTTCCCATTGGACTATTTTTGGTTAACTTACAGCAACTTTCTTGTAGAATTACAAAACTAAATCCAATGGGAACACAACGTAAACTAACGTCCCTGTCAACTTACTGCGATTGAGATGTAAAACTAACAGGCCGAAAAGGGTCACGGAAGATTTCGGCACAGCCACAGTAAGTTAGCACAGGTGCAAGAAAACCCAATGGGAACAGTTCCCATACAATGTAGATTGACCGCGACCACGCTAAACATATGAAGCAGACTACTGCCAATACAGAGATTGAAAGCAGGCACGCGAAAATGGTTGTATGGTTCCCAGTCTCTAGCTAGCTCCGTGCTACAGTACAGCAGCATGCCATACACACACACACTGTGAAACGTGTTGGATAAAGCTACACACCGATTTGGTCGAGATACACATAGGCAATGTAATCAGCTGGTCTTATTACTGGTGGGCTTAGCAGAGCGAATAAACATTCCGTTACGGTTTTTTTTAAAAAGTCCATGTGGGAATGCATGGTAGATTGACACGAAGGAATGTCGCGGTAAGTTTCTGCACACCCACGGAAGAAAATGTCCAATGGGAACACGGCTTTATTGTGTCTACAGTTCTGAAAATGGTCAGACCAACAGATGACATATGGACTACACCATAAGCTAAAAGCGTCATTTCCAAATGTACATGTGTACGATACCGTAGAACTAAATGATGCGAGTGAATCTACACTGTTATGGCATGCAAATGTACCAGTGCAGATCTACCTGTATGACATGATTACATGTACTTGTAAAGGTCTCCAATCTAAGGTTTCTTAAACTTTTCCGCTCTTTCTTTGTGTGTGTGTGTGTGTGTGTGTACCAGCATTTGGAAGAAAGTCTGTGCTTCCCTATTTACCCATTATTTAAATGTAATCTGACTTATCAGGTGTTATTAAAGGGATCGAGTGCTCTCTCTGCAAC